GGGGGGCTTAGTGACAGATAGCAGGGACAAGGCAGAGCTCTTCAATGAGTTTTTTCCTTTTGTCTTCTTAAATAGGAATCTAGGTGAACCCTCAACATACATCACAGACACCAACAAAGGGAACATCAGCCAACCAACAGTCAGTCCTGACACAGTAAAAAGACACTTGGAGGGTCTGGACGTATTCAAATCACCAGGACCAGAAGGACTCCACCCACGGGTAATGAAGGAATTAGCAGAGGTCATAGCTGATCTGCTGGTAAGGATATACAAGCACTCATGGTGCTTGGGTCAGGTTCCGGAGGATTGGAAGAGGGCAAACGTCGTCCCAATTTTTAAGAGGAGGAAGGAGGACCCAGGGAACTACAGATCAGTCAGCCTTACTTCTATCCCTGGGAAAATCCTAGAAAAAATTATCAAGGAGCACATCTGTGAGAACCCTCTGGCTAATGCAATGTGGAGGGGTAATCAACATGGGTTTTTAGCAGGCAGGTCCTTCCTGACTAACCTAGTTTCCTTTTACGACAAGGCCACCAATCATTTAGATGCAGGAGTTGAGGTGGATGTTATCTATCTGGACTTCAAGAAGGCCTTTGCCAAGGTATCCAATACCATTCCTTATAAATAAACTGAGGGGATTTGCCTTGGATGATTACATGGTAGACTGGGTAGCAAACTGGCTCAAGGGTTGCACTCAGAGGGTGGTGGTGGATGGGTTGGTGTCAACCTGGAAAGATTTGTGCAGTAGAGTCCCTCAGGGCTCAGTTTTGGGGCTGGTGCTATTCAACATCTTCATCAGTGATCTGGATGAGGGGGTAGGAAGCACCCTGTCCAAATTTGCGGATAACACAAAATTATGGGGTGCAGCTAACACCCTGGAGAGAAGGGACCAAATCCAGGCTGACTTAGACAGACTGGGGAAGTGGACAGAGAGCAAAAGGATGCAATTCAATAAGGACAAGTGCAAGGTGCTGCATCTAGGGAGGAAGAACTGCCATCATACCTACAGGCTGGGGGGCAACCTTCTCAGCTACACTGAAGCACAAAAAGATCTTGGAGTCACTGTTGACTCCAGGATGAACATGAGTCGCCAATGTGATGAAACAGTTGGTAGAGCCAATCACACCTTGTCATGCATCCATAGGTGCTTCACAAACAGGTCCAGGGAAGTGATTCTCCCCCTCTATGCAACACTGGTCAATCCACAGCTGGAGTACTGTGTCCAGTTCTGGACGCCGCAGTTCAAGTGGGATGTGGACAACATGGAGAGGGTCCAAAGAAGAGCCACTTGCCTGATTAGAGACCTGCAGGGAAGGCCCTACGAGGAAAGGCTAAGGGACCTTAACTTCTTCAGCCTCTTCAAGAGAAGGTTGAGGGGAACTTGTGGCAGCATACTAATTCATAAGGGGAGAGCAACATGAAGTAGGCGATGATCTGTTCACCAGGGCACCCCCTGGAATGACAAGGAACAATGGCCATAAGCTACTAGAGAGAAGGCTTAGGCTGGACATCAGGAGAAAGTTCTTCATGGGCAGGGTTGCCAGAATCTGGAATGGGCCCCCAAGGGAGGTGGTGCTCGCCCCATCCTTGGAGGTCTTCAAGAGGAGACTGGACAAGCACCTGGCTGGGATCACATGACCCCAGGGTTGGTGACTTTTCTTGCCTGCCAGGGGCAGGGGGTTGGACTAGATGGCCCACTGAGATCCCTTCCGACTCTATGAATCTATATGAAGGGGTGGAAAAGAGTATGAGAAAAAAAATACTGTAGAAGAGAGAACGCTTGGTACTGCAATGACAATAAACAAGTCTCACAACACTAAGCAAGCCCTGTATCTCATGCAGATACACCCAAGGTACCTTTAAACTTACCTACTCTGGGTATTGAGAGCTGCAGCTTACGGCACACAAGACCTGCCATGAAATCTGGGTCACGTTGCTAGTGATACTCCACCTAGCTCATGTAAAGCTGTCTTAAGAATCTTTACCCAGGCTGCAGCTGCTGCTGTGCAGTCTAGCTTAATTAACTCTCTTCTTTCTTAATAGAAGGGAACTGAAACACAAAGGTTATGAAGGTTTTCCAGAGAGACAAACAGAGCTTGCACCAGAGCAGGGATTAGTTGAATACCTGGACTCTCAATCCAGTGCTCAGACTTTTAAAGAAAGCAGCTGTTCTATGCACTGAGCTTTGCTTTTTTGTTCTTGGTGACCCGCAACTCTCTGTGGATTTGTATTTAGATGTAGTAGACTGGCACTGGAATACTGTGTTCAGTTTTTCTGTCTGCAGCTGAAAAACACTGTTGATAGACTGGAGAGGTTTCAATGAAGACCCATTAGAATGACTAAAGAACTGGAAAACACATCTTTAATAAAAGATGCCATGAGCTCAATTCATTTCGCTTATCAGAAAAAGGTTATGGGATAATTTGATCACAGCCTAATTACCTATATGGGGGACAAAACTGATAACAGGCTCTCAATTTAGTAAACAAGGAGTACAAAAAAATGGCTGGGAACTGAAGATACAAGTCTCCAACTAAAAATATGATGCTTTTAATAGTGAAGGTAATTAACTATTGGAACAGCTTGACAAGGTATGTGGTATATTTGCCATTACTGGAAATCTCTGAAATAAAGACTGAATGTTTTTCTAAATATCCTATAGTTCAAAGAAGAATTAATTCAGAAATCCTCCAGCCTGTTTCAAAAAAGGAGATCAGTCTACACCTGTGGTTCCCAAACTCTGACAGATTGGATACAACCAATTTAAGATGATACAATCTTAAGTACCACCAGCAAAATTTTTCATACACATAGGTAACAGGCTATGTATTAAAACAACATCAAAACTTTTAGCAATCATAAAATATTGTTTTATCAGTTACAGTAGCCATATTAAAATTAAAAAATGTGATCGCAATTAGTTGCGTGATTAAAAAAAGTTATTTGCAATTAATTGCGATCTTAATTGCACAGCTAAAAACTCAAGATTATACATAGAAAGACTCAAAGTTATGCAGGTACTTCATATGGTTGAGGGGTGAGAGAATTTGTGAAGATGTGGGGGGCTGTGGGTGTGCAGGATTTGAAACCTGGGGTGGGGGAGTCCCTGCATACCCTGGCTGGATGCGGGTTACTGTGGGTCAGGAGTGAGGGGCAGCATCAGGGTTGGGCAGCCTGCATCTTGGGAGCAACACAGACACGTGCAGACACACAGTGCCCAGCAGGTAAGCCTGTGGAGGAGCTGCAGGAGAGGGAAGGGGTGTAGGGAGGTGCAGGTCCCTTCCAGCCCTAATGTCTATGAAATCTATGAAAAAAATCTATAAAATCCCTGCCATTGCGTGCACCCTGGGGGAGGCATGGGGGACACATCCCCCAGATTTGTGTGGAATGGAGGTGGGCTGCCCACTGAGTGCTGGGCTCTGCACCCCACTACCGTTGCCATGTGCTTTCCACATGCTGGTTGCACCACATACCCTGCCCACCTGGTGGGGGAAGGCACATGGCGTTATGTGCAGCTCGAGGGAAGCCTGCTGTTCCCTGGGGATTTTCTCCCCTTGGGCTGGCTTGCCTTGTAGCCTCAGAAAGACAGGGCCCCTCCTGCTACCCAAGCTGTTCCCATGTTGGTGTGGGCCTTTCCAGGGGGGTGGGGAGGTCTCCCACTGCTGCATGCATCCCAGGGGAGGCATGGGGGTCATGTGCCCTGTGGATTTGAGCATGGGGCAGAGGCAGGCTGCCTGCTGCGCTCTGCACCCCACTGCATCTAGAGCCATGCATGCTGCTATGTGCCTGCTGCTGCCGGGCAGGCAGGGGATGCAACACAGTCAGTGTGCAGAAGACACACATTGTTGCATGCTGCTCCCAAGGCAACGGCAGCAGGGCACAGAGCCCAGTGCGCAGCAGCAACCTGCCTCT